GGTGGGGTGCATGGGGGGGTACGTACTCCATAATGGTAGGGTTTGGAGAAGAATCATAGTATTCCATAATTGGCAGAACGTATTGATGAATAATGATTACCATTATGGGAAGTTTTTTGGACTGTTCACATCTATATTCATGGAGGATTCAAATCTTCGTTACTGTACGTTGATTTGCCACTACATGCATCATGCATCATCATGCATCAGGCCCCTATATATCTATTTTTACCTACATTCTTTTTTATTTATCATGGATGAGTACCTGAGTTTTGGCTGGACTGTTTCTGCAAATTAATGCAAGAGTTTAATTACTTATATATATATATATATGTGTGTGTGTGTGTGTGTGTGTGTGTGTGTGTGTGTGTGTGTGTGTGTGTGTGTGTGAGGATGAAATCCTATAAATTAATTAATTTCGTAGCAAATAAAGGACTAAATGCTAATCTTCTGAGATAAAATTAAATTACGAAAAACCCGCTCATATTTGGTTAATTACAACTACATCCCTCGAGTATGAATCCTCAACATAGTTTTCTAGATTTCGTGAGATATTCTCTAGTTCGTATTCGTTTTCTGCAAAAAGTGCAGTTTCTGATTATGCACCACAATCCGATATTTACAAGCCAGAAGACACATCTTATATATGATCATGATCTTGTTTCAAAATGCTGAGCTCGGATGGGTAAAATGGGTACAAACTGAAGAATATTCGACATAATTAAGAAGATTCCACTAAAATTTTTAACACCGCAAAGATGCAGACGTGTAAGAAGATTAACAATTGAGGATATCTATAATTACCCAAACAAGATGGATATTTTCGTAATTAATCTTATCTCAAAGGTGTCATGAGTTAGGTTAGCTAGGTATAGCACATGAGCAAGCAAGTTGGTCCTTAGTCTAAAAGAAAATTAATAAAACGTACACAATAATGAAGGGACAATGAAATGAAAGGTACCTTAAAGTTTGCAAGAAAACCCTATTCACACATATATATTTATTTTTTCAGGTATTTTTTTTATTTTATTATTTTTTGCCAGAAAAAAAATAATATTCCCTGTTTGGGTGAAGCTTTGGTTTGTTCTATAGTCCAACTCAATGGTTTGGAAGACCAAAGGGGGATCCTTGAGTTGTCATTTCATTTGTCAACTCATTTAACCTCTTCTTCTTTGCCATTTTCTCCTTTCTATATTCTACATGCCAAACAGCCCCTAAGTAATTAACCTTTGTTTTTCTTTTCTTTTTTATGATGTAACTGTTCATTTTAATTAATCTGTGAACAGTTGAAAAAAATTGAAAAAGTATAACTATTGGTCAGAGTGTTGAGTAAAATTTGAAATATTGGAGTGTATTGCAAATAAAATTTGAACCTTGAAAATAAAATGGATTTTAGTAAAAATATAGGTAATTGCACAACTTTCCATTAATTATATAAAAGTGTTTTTAAACCAGGAAATATTGTTACAATATTAAAGTTTTTAAATTACGTCTTAAAATAGTTTATTTTAAGAGAGGCATAAATAAATAAAAGAAATAAAAAATAAATAAATACTATTATCCCAACTTCCAAAAACATGAGTAAGAAAGAGAACCACTGTGATTTCTTGTTATAGAAAAAGCTTTAGATATTTCTGGCTTCATGTGAAGGATGAAGAACTTCGATCAAATTAGAAAGTATTAATTAGTTTATAATATTTCTGGCTTCATGTGAATTGACAATTTTACCCCTCATCGAAGACGTGAGAATGGCATGTGCGAGAATTAGACAAAATAGCCAATTTTGTGAACGGTGCTCCAAATAATAGACTCTGGGGGGCAACGTGCAATTTTTCTTTGGTTGCGGCTATATACAATACTCATTCCACTTGTGCAAGACCAAATTAAAGAAAGATTCCAAAAGATTCTATTTTATTAAGATGGAATGACAAGTATGCCCATAAATTAAATTGGCTTTTTTTTCTCATGTAAGACCAAATACAAATAATGAGAAAAAAACAAAAATCGACACCAAGGTGTCGAAAAACTATGCTACAAGTCGACACTTAAGCGTCGAATTTCATAGGTAAAAATCGACATTGACATGTCGAATTTATAGCACAAATTCAAATGTCGAATTTTATACCTCAAAATCGACATCTACATGTCGAATTTTATACCTCAAAATCGACATTTAGATGTCGATTTTTACCTGTAAAATTCGACCTGTACATGTCGAATTCGTTTGCGCGGGATTTTTTTTTGAAAAATCGATATTCTAGCTAAAAAAACCCATAAATGCATACATTCTTGGGTTCTTCCATCGTATAATCTTCTATCTTGATGTCTTCTGACTCCATACTTGCCATCTTTGTAAGATTTGTTGAGTTTTGATGATTTTGAATTTCTAGGTTTTGTGGGTTAATGGAGGAGGAAGGAGAAAGGTCTTGTGGGTTTTGGAAGATGGAGAAGATGATAGTTGGTCTTGTGGTTTTGTGGTCTTGTGATAGGGTTTTTTGTGTTTTTAAATTTTTGATCTTGCATATTTGGAATTTTTTATTTTTTAATAAATAAGGGTATTATAGTATTTATACATTGAAAATTTTAATTTGGTCTTGCACAAAGTGAAATTAGTCTTGCATATAGCCGCAACCTTTTTCTTTTAGTTTGAGGGATAAGTGCAAAATGCATCAAAATTCGGGAGACAAAATGCCATTAACCCTTATAAATATTAACTTATTTGAAATAATTTATAAAAATATCTCTAAAAGAATACATGCTCACACGTGTCGGGGGTTTTTAGAGCAACTCGAATAGGAGTATCAAATGGATTATAAAACCCATAAACCATCTTTTTGATATCCCAAAATCAAAAATTTCTACTCTGATAATGCTAGAAAGTAGATCACCTCAAGTAGTTGAGCTGGAAGAGCAAAGTGGATCACTGCTCACGTACTAGATGGCCCTGAGATACCTGCGAAGAGAGAACACGTGAACTAGGCCAGGGGTTGATCCGGCGGAAACCCCTCCGACGTTCAAGTCAGACGTGCTGATCGTATAAATAGTCCAGAGAATACAATGGGTAATATTGATCAGTTAATAGGACGTACCTTGAGGAATTAGTTCAAACCTTTATTTACAGCTTAGATAAGAGCTTAGATGAGATTGTTGGGTCCAAACCTTATTTGAAGGTGATTGGGTCTCGGTGATAGTGACCTTCAATATTGGGCTCGTGGCTCCGTAGATAAATAAATTGTAAGCCCAATGGTTGGGTCAATTAGGCATATCATACTCCAATGGGGTATTAAAATGGGCAAGTATTTTGATATTCTACTTATTTGCATGTAAAAATACATTCTGAAAAGGGGCTTGCTATTATCAGTGCGATTTTTACCACTCGCAGTGCAAAATAATTCATTTTTTTTTCTTTTCCAAATCTTATCCAAATACCCTCTCAAACACTCTCAACCTTTTATTCTTAAAATTTATCAATTTTAGTATTTTTTCGACCAATATCAGTTAGAGCACAAGTATTATCGACATGGATGACAACGGCTTCGATTTTGAGGTGAAAATACACGTTTTTTGTTCGTTTCCAACGTTTTTAGCGATTTCGTGTCATA